TATACTCTGCACTTACGGCCATTGAGCAGTGAGGAATCTTTTTCGTGCCAGCACCTACTGCGACACGGGACCCCGGTTTATATGGTCTCATCCGAAGGACTGGTCTCCACGTCCCACAGTGGGATTCGAACCCGCGACGTAAGGATCAACTCCTTACTCTGCGACTCTAGAGCAGACGCTCTAACCACTGCACCACGCGGGCGACTGCTGTACATATTAATGGCACTATTAACGATTTTTGTAAAGTAGGTCAAAGGTCAAGGGTCACGAGGTCAGTACCCATTGCAATTCACAAAAGCCATAGTGCCAAGCAATATATGTGACAGACGGACAGACAGCTTGACAGATGGACAGACAGAAAGACGCCGGGCAAAGTTATCTCTAAGTGCCGCTCTGCTCTGCAGGGTACACAAAAACACACATAATTTCAATGATTTTAGCAAAACTATACACCGATACTTTAACCAAAAGTCTTTATTATTCTATGTGGTTCAGTGGATGAACATGAAATTAATTTTTCATGCATCAAGTATTAATAAAAATTATTTTTAAAATTAATGCAGGCATTGACCTTACATGTAATTAACAGGTAGCATGTCTGATGAAAAATCCTGACTTCCATGGCTGCATTATCCACAGGTTTATTTTGAGAATTGTTACATTAACATTTCTTATTCATTTATTTAGCTGGATAGTTAAACAATAAAATGATTCCTTTGTTTTGATTTTTTTTCACCAGATGTTGATTGCAATCATTGTAGAAAAAATACTTTACACGTTAGCATATACATGTACTACTTAAAGGGGCTTGGACACAGTTGCATATTGTTTACATTATAAATTTCTACGCTTATTAAAAAATTCGACAGTCTGATCGAACCCCCAAAATGGAGTAAACGGAAAAGAAAAACCACTAAACAAAGCATGGTTTAATATTGAGTATTTTGAGCCACTATTAAATTGTCTCCTTCTTTTTTTTTTTACACCGACTCCTCTAAATTGTTCACAATAAAATTATCACCATTTAAAAATGTCTCACCGTCATTGCTCCAATTCCATATTTTTTACTAAGTTCAGACTAGGTAATTTTAGTTTTTTTTTTGGCATCTTCAATTAAATTAATTCTATCCTGCATTGTTAATTCTTTTCTGGCTCTTTTTTGTGATGGAGATTCAGTCTGTAAAATTTAATGGCCTTTTCCAAGCGTTGCCATGATCTTTAGTAAATGCAAGAACAGAATGAAGTACGTTTATTTGCGCTATTTGTGATTATTTATCATATTTGTTAAAATCAAAACTGTTGATAAAGGATAGATCTTTAATGGGACATAATTAACCCAGACGATACCCCTCTCATAATCAGCGAGCACAGGTAAAAATAAGTGGCCGGATTAGAGGAGATAATTTTGCACTAATTATGAGCAGTCAGTACTTTAAATAGAGGCCAGTTTACAGAATAGGCAAGATCCAGAATGCTCAACATTTATTAAACATAGATTATAAAGAAAATATAAAGGACTAAAATATAATGCCGGACTGAACAACATGCCGGAATGCACAACATCTGGATTCAGCAAGTTTTACTGCATTTAAGTTCAGTGGGCCTTAATTATTCTGTATTGTAATTTGTCCTTATAAACAAGCAATGTACTATTACCTTCAGTACAAATCACCCTCCTTCAAGCTATAACCAGAAAGGAGAAAATTTAATGCAACAGACCAGACCAGGATTTGAACCCGAGTCCCCTAAACTCTATAGACAGGTGCTCTATCAACTGAGCTATCTAGCCAACAGTAAACGAACCTGTCTGACCACTAAATCCCTCCCAGACCTTAAAGGTCTTCACCCCTACAGACACAACCCAGATTCTTCTTGCCCATTATATGACCTTCACCTGCAAGTATAGGGGTAGTCATGGACCCAAATTTTGTAAGCAGAAAGGAGAAAATGCCATGGACCAGACCAGAATTTGAACCCCTAAAGTCTCTACTAACTGAGCTATTTGTCCATCGGTGATTGAACCTGACCACTGCATGGGTAATAGTAATGGCTAATGACATTATGATTATACATAGCTATATTCTTTCAAAAATCTTGGCATCCAAAGCCATGATAGCCAAACATTTTCTATTAGTAGTTTTATATCTTCATATTTCATAATTCCTGTAATAATGAGTCTGATGGAAGGTTTATTCCAATCTTGTGGCAATATGCACTTTTAACATTAACATTTAACATTAGTATGTTCCCCAGGAAAATTACATTTCTCTTTGTCACTAAGCAGCTTGTCTTGTGACCAGGTAAAAAAAAAAATTGATCTTCTACCCTCCCTAAATGACCAAGTTATAGTCACTTTACTGCCCTAACTTTATTTTTAGGATTATTTTTTCAAAAGCAAAAAATATATCTTTGCTTGTGACCTGTAAATTATCCTCCTCATCACCTAAAAATGAGGAAAATTCTCAGAATAATTAAGATATTTTCATATTTTGCTATAATATTGTGAATATGAATTTCATTGATCTAGCCTGCAGGCATTTCATGAGCCAATATGTCCCCAATACATGACATTTACAGTCAATATCTCCAAAATTACAGCTGAATATTAATCAGTGTGACAACTCAACAATTATTTACTTTCTTTCATTTACCATAAGTATTTCACATCACACAGTCAGTATGTCTGTTTGATGCTTTTTAATGTCAGCTGTTCTTATATTATCTCCCGTCATTGTCCCTTAATTGGAATTTTTGATCCAATAATTAGATATGTACATGCAAGTATCACACAGAGAACCAATGACAGCCTTGAAGTCTTTCTGGCAATTTTTTTTTTTATTTCACCCAAAATGAAGTAGGGTGACATACTGTTCTACCTAATTTTGCAGGAGTTCTTGTTTCGAAAAATCAAACTTAACTTTGATGATACCTAGTTAAATGTTGTACGCTACATTTAAGAACAGCTGCTATAATGCCATGAAAACAAAAACAAAAGGTCCATGGGCCACAATGCTCACCTTGCTGAGTCACCTTGTCACTCTTATTGTTTTAGATTTTTCCCTTCTTTTTCCCATGAAAAATTTTGACTCTATATTGTAACCCTAATATCTACTCCTAAGGATTTATGATTTAACCAAACTTTAATCCACAAAACATTAGGATGCCTCAATATCCATATGACTAGCCTGGCTTTGCTGTTTTAGAGAAGATGATGTCTTGAAGATTGTTTTTACTGTATATACATGGCTTATATTTAATTTTAACCCCACTATCTTGCTACAGTCTAACCACAGGTTCCTTACTTTGAATTAAAAAATGTAAATACTCAACTTAGGAATGTATGAATTGTATGTGCATTTCTAGTGCCTTGGTACTCTTCAAAAATTTTTTTTTTAATTTCCTCACTATTCACATGTAAAACTCTGATCCACTGTTATGGCCGCACTTACCCTAGGGGTCATGATTTGAACAAATTTGAATCTACACAACCTGTGGAAGCTTGCAAACAAATATGACTAATACATGTAATGTATTTGTTGTTCTTAAGAAGAAGATTTTAATTTTTTTTTTTTTGTATTCATTCCCAGGTAAAACTTTGATCCCCTATTGTGGCCCCACTCTATTCCTATAGGCCATGATTTGAACAATTTATCATCTCAGGGTTTTTTCTAGGTCTTAAAATCAAGGGCCTGGGCCTTTCCATTTGGGAAAAATTAATGACATTTAGTTAAAATTGGGAAAAATATCATAATTCACATTTTTCTAGAAAAAATTCAAATATGAGCCATTTCTTTACTTGCAAGGCATTTATTGACTTATTTACATTCAATAAATCTTATTGAAAATCAGTTTAACTTGTAATTGCTATTCTTTCTATAATATTTAGAATTATTTGACTTTAATGTCATGCTTCAAGTCATCTTTTGGGAATTTTCTTTGTTGAAATTGGGAAAAACACACACTTTTTACCATTGGGAATGGGGCCTATTACAGGCCCCCTACGACCCCTAAAAAAAACCTGCATCTACACTATGTTGAGAAGCTTTCACATAAGTTTCATCTTTTCTGGCCAAGAGGTTCACGAGAAAAGGATTTTTATAATTACTACCCTATTTTGGCTTTTTGGTTAACTCCCCTTTGAAGGGGCATGTCCCTTCATTTAAACAATTTTAAAGTCTCTTTACCCAAAAGTGTTCTGTGCTAAGTTTGATTGATTAACTGGCGCAGTGGTTCTAGAAAAGAAGTCAAAAATGTGTAAAGTTTACAAGCAGATGCCAGACAATGGGTGATCAGACATTTCTTGAGCTTATAGCTCAGCTAGGGCATGACCTAACAAGTTAATTTTTGAAATTTTCAAAATATTGAAATAGTACTGCTTATTCTGCTTTCAACTCCTACATTGCAAAATTGGTGTCTATCAAATTCAGGCAAATAATTTATAACTTTCACTTGCAACAGGAAATTCAGTGTCTAGTTTGCTTATTCTTCCATTTAATTTATGAATCAAAAAAATTATATTACATAGCAATCCTTTACCAACTGGAAATACCTACAGTGTATATATTTTTTTCTAACTGGCATCTTACATAAATGATTTCACAACTACATAAAAAATTCATAAAACCTGGAAATTATAGATTTAAAAGCAGCATTCTGATGAGGATTGAACAATTGACTTTTTTTTTTCTTTTTAATAAATCATTACTACTAGCTTAGTGTTTCAAAGAAACTGGGTTTGTCAGAAAGCCAAATTAGGCTTAGCATATTGCCCAATAACATTTCAATGTATCTATATTATACTATTGAATAAAATATGGTTTAAATGAGAGAAACTGGGTCACCAACTTAATCCCTAGTAATTGCTTTTGGACTCTTGATTCCACAATATCAACCAAGCCCACACATCTTCTTTAATCCAAACTAATCACAAGATGGACCACTTGAGTATTATTCTACTGCTTGAGCCAGTCTTTCCAGTTATTCATTTCACAAAAACTCAC